TGTTACATACAGACCTGAATTCAACTGGCATTGGTTCCTAATCAGTAGTGGTTCTTTGTAACCCAAACAATATAAAAAGCCAGTGAATGTTGTGGAATATTAGCGATGTTAACATTTTGACCTTGCCTGTGAGTTGTCATGCCTTTTGTGACACATTGTTACTTCAGAATAAATTATTATCATATACATAGTGGAGAATAGTGTGTGGTATGCATGCGGCGGTTTATTTGAACGATTTTACCTTGAAATGTTTGCTACTAATAAACTGGAAATAGTTTTGTCTCCATCTACTTTCTAAGCCTTGGTGCTATAGGCTGTCAACTTAACCTTGAGACTAGCAGCATATAAGTTCGGTTATACCCAAAAATCCTTGGCAGATTGCAGAAGGATATCACAGCACTAGATAGGCTAGCATGCCAGCGACAGAAGCTAATCACACTAAGCACTGTTCAATTCAATCCATTTTTAATATGAGGAAAAACACATGAATAAACAAATACTTTGAAAGACCAAAGTACACAAGGACGTGGAAAAATACAGCTCCGCCCGAAAACAGAGTGTGGAGTTTACTTCTAATTTACAGTAATTCTACACTGAAACAGTTTGACAATGGTTCATACATCAACCAAAACTATAAGATTCACAGAATAAGATAGAAACGAAATTATTTTCTATTATTTAGAAAACTTTGAATTATGTACGATAGTATCTCCTAGATAGGCTACTATATCTGTCACTGTCCCTTGTTTCCCTCTTCATTATAATGGCCTACTAAATATAGGATCACTTAGTCATTAAATGTATTCACAACATGGGCCTGAAAATATTTGCCTGACTCAAATAGGTTTCCAATCCGATTAAGTGAGGGATTAACCTTACCCTTTATTTTCTCAAAGATTTTTAAATTTATATTTATTTTAGTGACTTTTTAAGTAGGCTAAATTTTTTAGCACAGTTTTATCTTTTTAATGCTGCAAAATCATTGATGTTAACTGCATTTTATCCATTCCTACTAAAAGCTTTCTGCCCATCGCTCATGATTTATATTCATTTTTTGACAATAATTAAGTCATCGGTTTGATCTACGAGCGTAGTTTAAGAGTAGTGCTGATGTCGAAATCTGTATTTCTTAAGCACATTGCTTTACTTAGGTTTTCTTGGTTTTATAGGCCGATACTGTAACTTAGCTTGTGTCCGAAATAATTTCCAACTGTCTATCCATCAAAAGTTACATGAGAAGCTGACTCATTCTCTTTACGAACAACTTTAAACTCCTTACTACAACGTATATGCTAATATCAAGCTAACTATTCGCATGGTCCATTAGAATCTGATAATTTCATAAGGCCTAACAATTACGACCAGTTTAAAAACCAAAAGTTTAGTATTTTTACTTAATTTTGCGTTCTTAATTAGCATTCCTGCTCAGCGGATGCTTTTTGTAACCCAGCTTACAATCAAATTATGAAATGCTTTCATTAAAGGCTCATACATGGTCAGGAGTTCAATCAAGTTGTTCATGCATCAAACTCGTTGCAGGGTGATATTGGTATATCATTTTTGAGTGACGACCTGTTTTGATGCACATAAGTTCACAAGACATCCACATAGCTCTCATCTGTTCTCAGTTTTATTCCTCAGGATACGCATGTGTCTTGTGAACAAGTTATTACTCGTAACTTTCATTTTTGAATCTATCTCTTTCAAAAACAATGCAGAGATTCTTCGGTTTTTTATTATCCATGTATATTTTAGTGTTATGATCTTGCTAACTCTTTCTGTTCAATATTTTGGTACTCCGTTGGACCCAATTTGAGATATTAATATTTGTATTTTGTTATATTTCCTATTTTCTGTACTTGAGTTTATATGTTTCCTTCTGAACCGTAAGTTTTTTGATTAAACTGATACTTAATATGGCTACGGCCGTATCGGATTTGTTGCCTTTGCGGTAACTTCGTATTCTTGACTGGAAGGACGCATTCTTCCAGAATTGGAAACCTATTGTGTTCAGTTTGGATTGGGACAGTATAATATTGTTTAGGTAATTGTCTCTATTCCTTTTTTGATGGATAATAGAACCGTTCTTACCCAGAAAACTTGCATTTTGACTTTGGACTGGGCAAGGCGCGTATATGCTTCATACTGCCTCCGAAACCAAAACTCACTGAAGTGAATTTTTCTATAGTAACAGCCTGGATTACGTAGTTATGGACCAGCCGAAAACAACCTGTTGAAATTAAAACAGTATATCCAAAGTAGTTATTCACTTCCCTACTTTGCGAAGGCATCATATTTTGAATGTACAGAGGTCTGTTTGTTTGAAAAATAAATTCTCCGCTCCACTGTGTTGCTGAACAAGATCTGAGTAAAGACCTACCATGACTACTGCTGGCTTTTGATACACATATATATATTGTGTAGTAGACAGTAAGTTTTAACAGAAGCTATAGGAACACGTTCCTGGCTTTCACTATATATAAACAAGTTAACTTTCGGTGTACCAGAGAATATTATTTAAAGCCGTAGCTGAGTGTTGTGAAGATGACGACAGGTTAGTGTAGGAATTTGGGTCCGTTCACTGTCACTTACTATTTTTCTAGACAAATGAGCATAAACGAATAAATTCAAATCTCCATAAAGTGGGTTCCTAATCCATATGATTTCACGTTCAAGTCACACCTTTATCTCTACTGACTCGCAGTAACTTTATAATCAGAAAGGGTTTTTTATAAAAATCCTTGGACAATGAAAAAAAAGGACAGCAGAACCAAGTATTTAACATAAATACGAAGCAGGTGCCTGCACTGAATATTCTTAGTGGCTGATCTCTGCATTCCGCTGTCATTCAAGAGCGGAAATTCATTTTATTTTCGAAAGTTAGTGGTGAGGCGTGAAAGTGACGGCAATTTTAGTGGATGGTACTGCTGACTGTGCTGCACACGTCGTTTACCTTTCTCTTACTGCACCGACGTTCATCCAGGTCATAAAAATTCTATCACTTAGCATTCAAAGTAAAAAGATTGATCCCTATGTCTTGAGGGTGGAAATTCCTCTGTAGTTACTTAACATCACTGTTCTGCAGAACGTCTAGTGTTTTGAGGAAAAAACCGAGGGGACCTAATGAGTAACGAAAATCCTTCATGCCTTAGTAATTTGAGATTCTTATCGAAAATGTTCAGAAAAATAAATGGTTGTATTTCGACGTTTTTGGGTTACATAACCTTCGAAATTTCCGGTGATCGAGATTTTTCAGTCTTCTGTAAACTATGTTAGGCGTAACAGTTAGCAGATAAGGTATCTGAAAGCGGTTTTTCGCAGGATCTAGTGTTAGAGCATCCTCTACTCTGATTTTGGGAATAATCCTCCTCTGGGAACTGTTTCAAAGTTATATATTCTAACGATGTTCATCCTTGGGTGGAAGTTCATAAACAAAAGAACAGGTCAGAACCTTAAGGCGTTTTTGTTTGATCTTTCAACAGTGGACTAATTTTAAAATTTGGAAATTTCGGAGTAGCTTATCTGCACCTCGTATACAAACTGAATAGTTCCGCATTAGACATATCCTTAGTAGAAGCGACTGATATAATTTGGCTCCCTATTACTCAAAATCATGTGCTGTCAAGAAGGTATCTTTTTTGAAAAATTTGAAAATCACCAAGTGAAAGCGTGATGAAAAGTTGAAAGAGAGATCACCATAGCACACAATTGATAATCGGTTTGTGTAAACAAATACCTACGTAAACCAATGAAGAGAACGGTATTCACAATAATAATCTATATTTAATAAGGTAATGTGAGTTTTTTCAATGACAGATAATAATAAATTTAAGATAACTATGCGTAGTTTAATTTGGACTAACTCTGCTTGTGAAGTTATAGTGTTTCCTCTATCGTTCTATAAGAATGAAAAATGAATTGACAAGTGATCACTTAAAAGACCACTCCAAATCCTGCCGGAAATATCCAGAAATACTGTATTCATTCTCTCTAGAACCACAGAGCCGACCTAATAGTAATATTCTACACTAGAAACAACACATGGAAACCTATGTGGTTCGTTTCTAACACAACCGTGTGAGGAAATAATCGCTAGTTTGATGTGAAGCGTAGTACTTTCGATTACTGTCATGGTATTCATTCTTTAAGTGTACACAAACCTACACATTGCCAACAGTCTGAAAAATGGAAAGATGTTTGTTACTCCATCGAAGTAACTTCTGCGTATCCGTAGGAAACAAGGACAGGATATTTTATTGACCTGCGGATGTTAGTCAGATGTTGTTGAACTTGAGTGGTTTGACTGGTAAACTAGTGTTATCCTACGTCGAAACCTCATCGTGAAGTGATTGCCTAACCTGGTTCATCATAATTTGCAAACAGGTTTATTTGCTTCTTCAGTTCAACAAGGAAGTAAGTGTTTTTCTGACGATATAACTGTTTAAGAAGTGGAATGGATCTCAAGCAATTAATGTACATATTTCTTGATAAAGCTGACTAAACAGTCTGGTTGTACCGTTTGTGACTTTGATGAGGTTCACCAGACCATTTCGCGCCCAATGGTCAGCCTTCTTTAGTACGGAAGAATACAATGTGTAATATATTTTGACCATGTCTCAGGGATATTTCACTGTTATTTAAGAAATCAGCTAGTCGAACTTGTTTTATGTATGTAAACCCTTATATAAGGACAGATTTGATCCATTGGTCCTAGGAATATAAAACGTTTGGGCATGAATGTCTCCTATATTTTTCATAATCATGTGAATTACTTGAGTGTTTCTTATTTTAGTTCACTGTATACACAGTATGATATATTTCTGAAAATAATCCATCAAGTTGATGTTTTAGAGCAGAATTATCTGCACTAAGCCAAGTTTTTATTGAGGAGATTATAAACAAATTCATTTTTAATAAACGTTTCTCATCAGGCATATTGAATATTGAAACTTCCACCACACATTGTTTTGTCATTCCCCAGTTTTAATATTTCGCGCGTGATGTCTGCTCCGGAGGACGTAATTCTGCCAGATGGCCGTAAGATCGGCGACCTAAAGGTTGCTGATCTCCGCACTCAACTCGAAATAAGAGGTCTTAGTCGTTCAGGTGTGAAGAAAGATTTGTGTGCCCGACTCTCAGGGGCTGTGGATGTGGAATTGCGTCAGGAAAGAGAAGTAAGTAAACACAAGTGCGCGTTTCCAAGACATTTCACTTTTTTACACTAATTTTCATTAAGATTAGTTGTGTTGTCGTTTATTCTAGTGATTTTAAGAGTGCATACCATTGGTTAGCAGGTCATTTATGAACAAAGTCCCATACGAGTAAAAACCGTAGATGTATTGATTATTAATGTAGTGTTCATCTGGGAGCAATCGCAAAGGCATATTAAGTGGAAAAATGCATCAACCTCAGGAATCTATGACATCATGTCGAGCTTGAAAAGCAGTGTTAGACATTATTGCCTATTACATGCTATTTGAATCATAATCAGGATGAGCTGTCTACCTAGTTAAATACAGCTGGATGAATATTGCTCACTTTCATGATCATAAGAAAATGTGTTGCTGTATCGGCGCATAAAAACATCCTTCATATGTATTGTTGGCCCCTCAACCTGATAATCTTTAAAATTCTATGGACCACATTTTTGATCTATAGATGCGTTTTGAATGTGATGAATGCTCGAGTTATCCTAAGGCACTACTTATTCCTATTCATTTTAGAAGTCTGAAACTTTTGATAAGCCTGTAGAATCAGATGGCTCTCTTATTGGTACTAATAATGTGCAAAACGAAGATACTTTAGAAATCGATGCAGTTGCATCAGATGAGGAAATTACCGAAGTGTCTGCATCTGTCGATGTAACCGAGGTCAAGTAAGAGCAAATAGATACCTAAATTTTTGTTCGGTTTTTAATGTATTATTGTCTTCAATAAGATTTCAGTGTTGGATCTGCCATTAATTTTAAATAATTTATTTTCCGCATCACGTCTACCACGCAAAAGTCAAGACTCAGAATAAAATATGATCCCACAAGCATTGTAACTATTGACACGTGAACTGTAGTCTAGAAAGAACTAGTTGGTATATAAGGTTGAAAAAGTTGAGAATGTTAGTTAACTGAAAATCTTGAAGGAAATGATTTAATGTGACATTATCCAATGCTCTCAGTCATTAGCTGCGACCATTGTGTTGATTCTAATCAGATTGTCTTTGCCTTTTGAAGCACATATTCTCATAAGTCGTGGACTATCAAGTAATTGAAAGAGGACATCTAGTAGAGTTCATAAAGTGCCTTCAATTTACGTCGTACGACGACTACTTGTTGGGGTTAAAGAAGTTAGTTCAAGAAATCATGATCAACGGGGTCTTCTATAAATATCGAGCTTGGTGCCAAAAGAATATATAATCTATTCCATAAAGTGCCTGTATTTTTAAAAAATAACAGTTAACACAAAACATCGAAATTGTTCAATATTGAGGTGTGACTGTGTGTCTTTACTGATTAGCTTGCTGCGCATTGTTGCCCACATTTGAATGGAAAGTTCAAGTAACATTATCATGTTTATTTGAACACATGTTAATCGAACAGTGTCGAATTACAATCTACGTCGTTGGAACGAACCTGTGGAAAGGAAAAATTTTTTATCAAGAATTACTATATCTTTTAGCAATGATTTACTAGTCATTTCTGTCTATTAGCTAATGGGTCTTACGGTATATGGTAACTAGACGATATAATCGATGACTTACATATACGAACCGCTAAATGCCTCGAGCTAAAATAATTTCTTTGTTTTTCCTGTTTGTTTACTACCTATTCTGTTTACTTCATGAACGTTGATCTGAAACTTTATCTGGTTTGAATACGCAATGGCATCTCATAAGACGCCATAGCGAAGACAATACTTAACGACCGGTTCCTCATTCACAGTTGACTATGTGCCGTTAGGTTAGGGCCCGTAAATTACCTAACCCAGGTGGCTTACTTCCGGTTCTTTGTAACGATTGTGGCAACGTTTTTGTTCAGAGATTGACTTAGTTGCTTGCAAAGCATGGCTATACATCGCACCGATGAGGGCAACCTAACTCTTCGGTTGTGAAAACTGGCCTAACCCTTGTTGCTAAGCTTACAAAGACTAACTACATTAAGCGAACATAGTATCTTAACTTGAACTATAGTGCTTTTGTGGAAGCAGTTTGTGTATTTTCCTCTGGAAAAATTTAGTTTCGAGGTAAACAATGAATCATAAAACCTGATTGAATATTGTTATAACACTGTACTTTGTTCTTATTACTGTTAGAGAGATCATTTCATTTTGTTTTCAGTGTTGAAATTCCCGTAAGTTTCATTATTGATTTGAATAAGTGTTATGTGGTTGATTTATTTATACTTATAGCGTTAGGGAATGTTAGTTGTAGTATAATCATGTATAGATGTGTGTTTATGTATTTAGTGCTTTCATAGGATTGAATAGTCAGTGGATTTATGATATAATAATTATTTTATTTTATTGTTAACTATACTAATAACTACTTAAATCCTTCCTTCTTTATCCTTCGTCACTGGTGTTTGTTTTAACTTGTTTTGGACTTGCCTAAATGTACTCCTTGTTCCTGTTTATACTCGCTAGTCGTTCACACATGAGATGGTGGCACTCCGTACTGCGCGTTTATTAGCCCAGCACGTTTCACTGATGTCTTTCATCTAATCAGTCAATTTGGTGGCAACCTATATGGCCTTTGATTAGAATATCGATTATATTTTGCAAAATTCAAACCTGTGACATTTTCTACTGTGCTGGTCGTATATTGTAAATGATTTATATTGAAAAAACCTTCATGTTTTGAAAACTCGTTACTGATTATCATCACAATCGGTGTTGCAATACAGAATTTTT